TTGCATCTTCTAAATCTCTTTGTAAAGAGTTTTATTTTAATTACTTTTCATTTATTATACTAATCATTTGATGAATTCTGTAAAATTATTCTGTGTTGATACATTTGATTATTTTGATCATTTGATAAATTTTATGAAATTATTCTGTATTGAAAATGTTGATTTGTCTTACTAAATGCTGTGGACTTGCTCCATACATGGATCGAGTGAACCCTATTAATAGCTTGCACCGATATGCTCGAATAAGTAGTTGCGCTTCGGTGAGGTAGGTGAGGTCAGTCACTGGTCATGTACCAAATAGGACCATGTATTTGGTCCTGGACAAAATATCATGTGTTGAGTTAATCTGTTTATGCAATTTGGTAAATTGCATGGTAATATCAAATAGTTTGTGCCATGTCATAATTATTGGATTCCTGTTAATTTATTCTATATTCGAGGCTTGTCATTCTTGTCGAATTGTATACTTCCCAGGTTAATTTATTTTTCAGGTGCGGAGCAATCTGTGACGATTGTGATTAAAGCATTAAAGGATGGCCAATTATTATATTATTATTTATGGAGACAATTGCATAAATTATATTTTGGAGATATTTGTATAAATTATTTTTAGAGACAATTTGAATATTTGAGGTTATTTGATATTTGAAATTGTAATTTGTGGTTGATTTAATTTATTAACGGCCCGAAAGCTGGGGTGTTACACTCTGTCAATGTAACTAGAAAATTGTTACTTCAAGTCGTGTTACTAAGTTGCTTTTCTAAAGACAATATTTGCACCCACCAATCCGTGTATATGAGGGTTATAGTAAATTTGCCTCCAAGATAAGTTGCTTTACTAAGTTGCTTTCTTAAGTAAATTTATTAACGGTCTGATCGAGTGATCAAGTTTACCAGCGCCTGCACTGATGACAATAGATCAGAATACTTTTGATATAATCAAATCTGCAAAAAACGATTATTAGCAAGGAAAGTGAAAACTTTCTTAAGAAACTCGTGATCGAAAAATCTAAAAGAAGATGGGGGGAGGGGGAGAGAGAGAGAGAGAGAGAGAGAGAGTGTGTGTGTGTGTGTGTGTATTTGGTCCTAGTTGGCTACCCCTTTGGCCATCAAGTTTCTCCTAAGGGGGGAGGTTTTGGATTTCACTCTTATGAGTGGAATAGGAGGGCAAGATTTTCTGGCAAGATTTTCTTGCAAAATGTATGAGTGTGAGTTTCAACTCGTGCCGAAATGTTATTCTAACAACTAATCATTGACTTTTATTGATAAAAAATAAAAAAGATTCGCAACCTATTTATAGATCTACATGCACCTGATCGAATGGATCATGTCCCTTGATAGTATCTGATTAGATTTGACCATTGGGTCAACGATCTATGGTGCGAATCATGGCACAACACAACCCATTGTGTGTGCATGCACATTAACTTCCATTCCATAATTTCATATTCAACGAAATATTCTATCCAGCACTTTATTAAGTGCTCCATATTTTTTTTCTTTTTCTAATGTGGGGACAAGGCCCCCAAGCTTGTTTTTAGCTATTTATAGGAAAAATAAAGAAGGTTTTAAAAATATCCAAAAAGTAAATTATTAATTTTTAAAAACTCTTTTCAAAATTTCTCAAAATAGGTGACTGGGTGGATAATAAAAAGTAAGAATAAAATTTAAATTTGAGAATAAAGTGTCCAACAATATTTTTAGGATGCATTTAGATATTTCACATTAAAATTGATGTTGCTCAAATATTAAATTACAGATTTACCCATAATTTTTTTAAAATTATTTATTAAATATACCCACCAAGTTTGACAACACGGTGGTGGATTAGCAGTCAATGATCCAATGATCAATTCATTCAAAATCAAGGAAGGTTTAATAACAATTGAACTTGCTGTTTTGATCTCAAGATTAGCAGTCAATGATCCAATGATTAGGTCATTCAAAATCAAGGAAAGCTTGAATATTAGTGTTGAAGAAGTTACAAGATAATATATTATAAGCATGTACGCAAACGACAATCATACAATATGATTTGCTCCAACAAATTTTCTGAGTTGCAAATTTCATGAAACAATTAAAACAACGTTAGATAATAGAGTAATTATATTTTACCTCCTTTTATGTTTGATTATTTTTTATTTTGGCCCTCAATTTTTTTTTCTATTTTGACACTATATGCATTAAATTTTTCTTAATTTACTCCAAAAATTAAATTATATAAAAAATGACACTTGACAATCACGTGACATAAAAATATTTTACTATATATAATTCACACATGACACAAATTCAAACTTCAATATAATAATAAGGGTTGTTTGAGATGATCTAAATTAATATACTTTTTGACTTTTTACAAAAAGATGTGCAACAAAATAGAGGTGATATGATCTAAAAAGATTTAAAAATTTTTTTTTTTAAAAAGCATACTAATATAGGTGATGCCAAACAACCTGACAGTTCTTTATCTAACTTTGAACAATTGTTAGTTTTAGAGGCAAATTGAAAGCAATTAAAATATAAAGCATCAAAATGAAAAAAAAAAAATAAGAAAAATAGTTAAAGACACAAAACAAAACAAAACAAAAAAAAAAACAAAAAAAGAACAGCAAATATAAAGGGAGTAACATGTAATTTATTCTAAATAATATGCAGACATTGAGGAGACATTGGGTTTATGCCTGGTAGGTCAACAATATAAGCGATCTATCTTTTGAGGAGAGTAATAGAAAAGTATAAAGAAAAGAAAAGAGACATTCATATGGTGTTTATCGACCTTGAGAAAGCATATGACAGAGTGCCCCGAGATATAATATGGTGGACGTTAGAGAAGAAAGGGGTGACAAAAGACTACATTGACATGATTAGGGACATGTATGAAGGGGTGGTGACCACTATTAGATCGCTAGCTGGAGAAACAAATGAATTTCCTATCACTGTTGGGTTACACCAAGGATCTACCTTAAGTTCTTATCTTTTTGCTTTAGTTATGGATGAGTTGACGATAAATATTTAGGATGACGTGCCATGGTGTATGTTTTTTGCAGACGATATTGTGTTAGTGGATGAGACTAGAGAAGGAGTTAACACAAAGTTGGAGATTTGGAGAAAAGCTCTTGAAACTAAAGGATTTCGGATAAACAGAACTAAAACAGAGTACATAGAGTGTAAATTTAGTAACAGTAACAATGAAAGCAGAGGAGAAGTGAAGATTGAGAACCAAGAACTGCCTAAGAGTGAACATTTTCGTTATTTAGGGGCGATTATCACAACAGCGAGAGAGATTGATACAGATGTGGCCCATAAGATTAAGGCGGGATGATGTAAGTGGAGAAGTGCGTCTGGGGTATTGTGCGATAAACGAATACCCACTAGACTAAAAGGTAAGTTTTATAGAACGCCTATTAGACCAGCTATGTTGTATGAGACAGAGTGTTGAGCAACCAAGAAACAGTATGTAGATAAGATGAGCGTGACTGAGATGAGGATGCTAAGGTGGATGTGTGGTAAGACTAGACAGGACAAGATTAGGAATGAGTGTATTCGGGAATGGGTAGGAGTAGCACCGATAGAAGATAAGTTGAGAGAGAATCGTTTGAGATGGTTTGGTCATATTCAACGGAGACCAACAGAGGCAGTAGTGAAGAGATGCGATGCTGTAACGGTAGATGGAAGTGTTAGGGGACGGGGTAGACCTAGATTAACGTTAACTAGCGTTATAAATAGAGATATGAATCTACTTAATTTGACTAATGAAATGGCTTTTGATAGGGCCGCGTGGAGAAGAAAGATTCATGTAGCCGACCCCATTTGATAGGACTTAAGGCTTGGTTTGGTTTGGTTTGGTAATATGCAGACATTGACTTAGGGCAAGAATTACTCACTATTTTCTTTGGCAATGCACTGTTTTAATTTAAAAATCAAAAAATCACTAAAAAAAAATTAAAAAGTCAACAACTTATATAAAAAAGTCAAATATTCTATTTTCTTTTTTGTATATCTTTTCGTAAAAACTAAAAACGCATTTCAAATATATTAATTTTTTTACCTCATATTTTAACCAAAAAATTAAAAAATTATTAAAATAATCTAGCTAAGTTTGTAGTTTGCGCTATTACATTGACTTAAGCCGTCTCTAACTATTAAATTTGTGGAGTTAGATAATATATATATATATATATATATTGAAGTGGAATTTAGAAGTAAAAAAAGAAATAATGATAAAAGAACCATTTTTTTTTCCCTTTCTTTTCTCCTCACAAATTTGTGGGGGAGATTTGGATCAAATAAAATGACGCATGCATTTGGATAGGAAATAGGATAAATTTGATTTTTTTTTTCCTTCACTTTGTCTTAGGTATGCTCGATTTTATACTCGTTAATGAAAAAAAATAAAAAATTATTAATTGTACTATATGATTCATTGGCCCAAATTAAATGTTGAAGCATCAAGTAAAATGAGGTGGTTATGTTAAAACGTGTAACTCAAAATTAATTAATAATAACTGAAGTAGCCTTTTATAAACTAATTTTGGGTGTTTCGGATAGATGATGTGGAAGTCTAATGCCCTCTCGCTCATAGAGTACGGTAGGTGACATTTGACAAAAAAATAAAAATAAAAATAAAAATTGACACACAATTGCGCTTCACCCGAATTGCAAAATTGAGTTGGCAATTGGCATGTCTAGAGCAATGCCAAATTTGGCATTGTCAAAAGAAGATGTGAAATTCTTTTATTTTTATTATTTTAATAGTGAAGACCCTACAAATCAATTCAAAAAAAAGATTACGTTAAAAACATATTAAAGTAAAAATTATAAATTTGATATATCAAACAGAGTGTTTCTTTACCAATGTCAAATTTACATATACCAATTTACCACCAATTTATTGAAAGTTCAAGTGGAGATGCTGTTACCAAAAGAAAATTTAATTGCTGAATGAAGCCCAACAACAAGAATAACAACAAATTAGAGTGCACATTCGGGGTGGGGGTTAAAGAAAGCATTCATTTATATATTAAAGTGAAGATGATGAAGAAAAAAAATTATTAATTCATAGAGCATAGTTGACAACACAAACATGAGGTAACTGTTCTGAAACAGTCTCTTACAATTTGAATAAGAATAAAAATAAAAATAGAAAGTATATAACATAATTTCTTAGTGGAAAGCCTATAAATAGGACCACCCTCATTTGATGTTTTTAAGATTTCAGAAATTTCGTATTTCACTTCTGCTATTTATATTCTTCATCTTGCTGCATTTTATTTCCGAAAGAAAGAGTGTAAACACTTAGTGTGTTCGTAAGGCAAACAATTAGTAGTGCTGCTATTGTTTGTGGTAGATCATTTCATCCTGGGAGATAGACGTCCGAATTCTGAAAGCACCGTGGAGAGGACGAATCTGTCTTAAGGACACAGTGTTAAACACTGGACTTGATCAGAAAATAATTCCAAGAAATTAAATCAAGTAAGTTATTTAATTACTTTCAGTGTTGTTTTTATTTGATTATTTATTCAGATTTTAATTTTATTTTTGTAACAAAATAAAATCTGTTTTTATTTATTTATTTTTATTTCGAGTTTGATTTTTTGTAATCAAACAAATTCTCTCATTTCCTTTATTTCTTTATATTATGGTTGTTGTTTAGTACACAACAGAATTTAATTTATTTAAATATCTCCTTTTCTTTATTTCTTTAAATTCTAATTGTTGTTGTGTACACAATAGAATTAAATATTTTAAATACAGTGAAGATTGCCTAACAATTTCTTAGTGGAAGGCTATATAAAAAGCTTGCAATGGCAGCTGATGAGCTTCATCCGGTACTTAGTTTTTCCTTCCTTGAACTCATATGTATCTTCAGTTGCTCTTTTGTGTGAGTTTAATATGAACCCCATCTACAAAGTCCAAAATGGGTCTCCGAACAATCTTTCCTCCCTTAATTTTTGTCCAACTGTTTTTCAAAAGCAAAATCACAAATTAAGTTGAAACCAACCAAACAAACAAACGTTTACTACTCTTTTGTTAGCAAACTTGAGTAAACAAAAGAAAAAGGAAAAACATATTTTACCTATACTTGGTGACCAATACATGGAGAAAAGTGCATACAAACGCCCTAGCATAATCTGCACCTGCGCATTGTCTCACCCCTCCTCCAAAAGGCATAAAATTCTTTGATATAACAGTTGGATCAAGGTCCTATGTATTATCCAAGGAGAGAAATTAGTACTTTTGTCAATGTCTCTTTTAATGATTAAATCTCACTAATAAACATTACATTAGAACAACTAATTTCAAGAAATGTGTAAGCATGAAAAAATAACAAAACTCTCTCTCGATCCCTTGTTAGAGATAATATAAAAATAAAAACAGGAAAGCTAAGCAAAGGATATAAGCTCCTAATGGATCAGCACGCACGTTCCAACGTGATGGATTGAATTTAACTGGATCCTTGAAGGCTTCTGGGTTCAATTGATGAGCGGAAGTAACAATCAAAATGTTCCAACCAGCTGGAACTGTATATCCTGTTGATTTTATGACCCATAGATATTTCAAGTTCAATTATTTGTAGATTATATTTGTATGGAGTTAATTAATGGTATTGTGATGCAATTATAGTACATACCATTGAATTTGATATCTTTTGTTACTTTTCTTAGCAGCCCTGGTGCCACATTTCCCAGCCTGAGAACTTCATTCACGACCTGCAATTTCATATAATAATAAGACGTAGACAACATTAGTAAAGTATAGAGAAAAACTTCAAAAACAGAACACCAAAACATATTGAGATGACCATATAAACATACATTAAGCGTAAAAGTCATTGATTTATATTCTTCCCAAGAGAGTGGAGAACTTGGATTCTTCCTGTTTCTAACGATTGCCTCGTTTTCAGCCTGGCAAAATTAAACGATCACTAATTAATGTCATAATTAATTATTGTTTATGCAGAAAGAGAGTAGTATATCATTGTTCAACCAAGACCCTAAAAAAAGATCAACAACTGTGAATTAGTTAAATTGTAGGTTTGGGAACGTACTGTTAGCTCCTCTAATATTGAAGGATGCTCTGAGAGTAACTTCAAAGTTAATAGTATAACAGAAGAGATTGGCTCGAAGTTTCCAAATAAAATTCCAAACATCAAATTGGATAGGAATTCAGCCGTCAAGAACTTCTCAGTTTTCATGTCTTCCATTGCTCTGTCAAGGAAGTCTCCTCGAAACTTGTCAGCCGAATTCATTCTCTCCTCTACAATATCCTTCAACATGCTTAATAATTCCTTGCGATCCTAAATATCAAAAAAAAAAAAAACATAAATATTGGCAACTATGTCAATATATACATATATCTTAAAAAACAGGCTTTTTGGGAGGTTTCTAATTACCTTGACACATTGGTGGAAAGTAGTGCCAGGGATGTCCAAGGGAAGGGACAAAAGACCATGTAACAAGCTTGAAAACTTCTCACTATGACGTATCTCTGTTGATTTTTCCCAATCATAGCCATACAATTGCTTCAAAGTGAAATCAAAAATCATCTGCAATATTCAAACAAAGACATGAATGTTATCATCAAACACCAGAAATTAAAAATAATTAACTAACTAGACATCAAATTAATTAGCTTGGATTTTCTTTATACATACACAAGTAGCATCATGCTTGACATCAACAATTGGCTTGGTGGACCAATCACTTAGAGTTTTCTGAATGAGTTGTTCAACCTGTGGGAGCAAATTCACTCTGATACCCTCAACGCCAAAATGAGTCAAAGTTATGCTTCTAATGTACTTCTGAACAGAGCCTACTGCATATATCGGCAACATGCTAGAAAATGTGTCCAAGTACCAAAGTTCAACCGATTTTCCTTCTTCTGTAATGATGTAATGATTGAATTTCGGGTCGGTGGTTATGACAACTTGTTTACCTGCCACATTAGTTCTGAACACCGATCCATATCTGCACACAAATACAGACACAAATAATTAACTCGTTTGGCAAACTGTTTTTGAAAACCATCTTTTTGACAATTTTGATTTACGTACCTCTGAACTCTCCTAGAAATGAAGGGATGGAGTTCTAATGATCGGTTGGGAATGAGAAGCTGAATGGTCTCTCCGATGAGAGGGAAGCCCATGGAACCTGGTGGTAGAACACCGTTGTCGCATTTGGGATTCCTCCATTTGCGAACCCAATGAGTTATGAATATGGTAGCCAATGCCACCACAATGGTGCTCAATCCTACCCCCACAGACAACATAGTTGAATTGTGAATGCACAAAGTAGGAGAAATGGTTGATGTATATCTCCCAAGAACTCTTATTCTACTTGTTGGAAGTTCTATGTAGGATGATCTTGAATTTATAGTTTTAGCATGGATGGACAAAATGGATGGAACTACTTGGGATGTATACAAGTACCAACCTATAATTGCATTGCATGTGTCACTTCCATTGAATTATTCAAAATTAAATAAATGGATATCGTGGCTCTAGCTTGTGTTTAGTAGAGTAAATAAAATAATTTACAAATAATTTTTTTAATAAAACAAATTTTAAAATTATATTACAGTGATATTTTTAAAATTATGATTCGAAGTTTGGATTTTTTTTATTTAAAATAAAATAATCATCATTTGATAGTATCACTAACAAATGATAAAAATCAGTAACAATGAAATTAAATTATTGAATTAATGGCAGACAAAAACAAAATATCGAATCAGTCTTGTTTGTGATCTTTTATTAATGGATGGTAGGGTGGCATGTTGGACTTAGTATTTATTAGATTTTAGTGACTTTGTTTAATTGAGTCGATTGCCAGCCGTTTGAATGGTCAAGACAAACATAGTCAAAATTGACAACAAAAAAATATTAGTATATAGTGGGAGACGAATTAGAAAAGCAAGGAAAACGAGGAAACGAAGTACAAAAAAAGAAAAAGGAGAATACGAAAGCGAGGTTGAAGAAGTGTAGTTTTGATGGACATAAAGTAGAGATTTCGGTATTCGTATTATTTGATCAATTATTATCGAAAATTTAAGTTAATAAAATTTTATTTTAAATTAAAAAAATAGCTTTGTGAAGTTTTAAAATTATAATGATGTGGTGGTATAAGTCATTGGTTTTGAATTTTAATGGTGTGTTGCAACATTATCAAATAAAATAAAATAAAAAATATCGAAATTTATTTTCCTTTATTTATTATTATACGAGTGTCTGAAATATGTATCAAGATTCTCTATGAAGATACCTCTCTCTCCATATGGCTTGGAAATGTGAGGAGATGACCTTTCGGACAACCAAAATCACTCTTGTCAACCGCAGCTTTTACTATTGTCTACCAGTGTATCAACTAGCATCAGTCTGGATGACTGACATCCTATCGGATCACTAACTAGCTAGGTGACCGCTTGGATGATCGGCCGAACGACTAGCATGCATATCTCCAGATCATATGAGGAAGGAGACGTCTCATAAAGGATCTTGATCCCTAAAATATTGCCCGAACTAATCTTCTCAATACATATAATCCTCTCTCATCTCTCATTTACTAAGTAATTACCAAATATAAATTTTGGGAGAAGTTAAGAGTAGAACTTGAAAATTTTCAGTTGATAAGAGTCCCACAACCTTTGATCCACACATTAAAATGATAGTCTCTAAATACACATCAAAAAATTTGTTGGACAGCATACATTTGATAATATTTTTAATAACATTATATCCTAAGTCCAATTATCAATAAGGACAAAAATCGTTAAATTCATTTCTCTCTACATCTACTCTCAACCATCATCTGCTTCCCTTACGAGTTTAAACATGTTTATAACTTGCTAATTTTTTAAGGTAATATTTGGTTTAATAAAATGAGGTAAAATGAAATGATCATTTTATCAGAATATCCATTCTCATGTTTAGTTCGTTAAAAATGATTAAAATATATAATAAAATGATATTATTATTCACCATTATAGGAGATGGTTATTCTATAAAAAATTTAAGAAATGATTATTTCATTATATTATACTTTCATTCTAACAAACTAAACACAATATATATTATCAATACACTATATAAAAAAAATATATATATATATATATAATCAAGTTTAGCAGTCACCTCTCGCGACTGACAACCAATTTTAGCCACTGGCATCCTCCAATCCATTGAGAATCACCATAAACCACTTCTAGCCACCAACTCATGTCAATGTAATTATTTACATTGACTTAAGCCGTCTCTAACTATTAAATTTGTGGAGTTAGATAATATATATATATATATATATATTGAAGTGGAATTTAGAAGTAAAAAAAGAAATAATGATAAAAGAACCATTTTTTTTTCCCTTTCTTCCATCTTCAGACACCACTATTGCCATTGTTGCCGCCTCCTCCCCCACCGATGATCCCTTTCCACTACAACTCACCTCTCCAGTACCTTTCCTCCACTATCAAGCCTCCACTGCGAGTCTCCCTCACCTGCAAACCCCCATGGTCCCCCCAATCTAGGCTCTTCTTCTTCTTTGTTGAGTCCTAAAAACCCTAGGGCTTTCTCTCCCTCAGTAGAGGGGGACAAAGTCTTGATGAAAGAATATAGGTAATTTCATGTAAGGTTAAAATTGTAATAAAATATTGAAAATGAAAGGTATAATGAGATAAAATGGGGGTGTAAATAGAATCACTCTAAATTATATTATAGACATTACCAAATAACACCTTCATAGAATTGTAGGGCAAAGAACTTACTCATGCAAATGGAAAATTTCATTGTTTTACGCCACTGAGAGCACAGCTTGAAAAAAAACAAGTTTCAGAAGAAAAATAAATGAATTAGAAAGAGCGTTTAAGCAATAATGGGTTGACTTTAATATCTCCTAAAAATCGATATACATTCAGCAAAGTAGAGGCTGTTCTGCATAATACCACGGCTCTCCAACAATGCCACCCATCATTGGAACAGATCCTTCAGCAAGTGACCATTTAAGGTTCTTCAGGACGTGATATATCATTTCCTCTTTGATCAGAAAACTTATTTGAGATCTGACTTCGAAACAATCTGGTATTTGGCTGGTATCAACAAAATGTCCACTCAATAATTTACTCGGACTCAAAACAACAAATTGGGTATGCCATCTGGTATTCCAGTCATAAATTAAGCAAATCACATGTACTTAATGTAAAACAAATCAAAAAAAAAAAAAGGTAAAATTTATTTATATTGCCTGGATGGAGTTGGGGAGCAACTAATAAGGACAGGCACATATCATATTATTTTCTTGGTTATTATTATTGGATAGAATAGACACGTATTGTCTCAATTACAGGTGCTAGGCACATTGGACACTTTCCGCTTCCTTGGACCAGATTGTCTGCGCATTTTGAACACGTGCACATGTGCCCACATCTGTGACAATATGGTACACGGAAGAGAAAGTTACGTAGAATTTTATCCAGTATGCCTCTAATCTATATCAAGAAGTCATATAGATTTGTTAATTTTATACCTGTACAGTAAAGAATCTATACTGTTATCGCAACATAAACAGCAAATTCCTTTCCTCACAAAATCCCATTTGGATTCATCCGTTGGCAGACTGTGATCGTCCTCTGCAGCATATTAATAATGTGTCAGCAATCAATTCTTGAATTTGCAAGAAAATGTCGTGCAAAAAATAAACAAGGAGACCCAACAGACCAACTAGAGTTGCACATGCGAATTTAATCAAATGAAGGGGAAACAAAAAAGAAAAAAAAGAAAAGAAAAGTAAGAATCGGGGAAAAAGAATAAATGCACACCAGCAGCTGTTTTAAAATTGTAGACAAACCTGTTGGACCAGCTGACCTATTCAGAGCAGCAGAAACCTCTTGTTGTACTGAATGCTGCAATTCAAGCTGCATATACATGCAGGTTTCCAGCATCCTCTGCATGTCACTCATCCACTGCTGAAGCCTAGCCATGTCGATCCTCAAATCATTAATGATCTCCCAATCCTGCTCCAATCAACAATAATACTCATTTCAAACATAGGAAGTGTAGAAATGAATACACAGAGAATAGAGATGTAAACTAGTCAAACTAAAAATTAGTTAAGTGGGGAGATGCAAAAGAAACTAAACAAACAAACAACAAATGAGACTTGTTCAAATGAAAAACTTCAACCAAATAATACTCAACTTTTAGACCACTGCTGAAGCCTAGCCATGTCAATCCTCAAATCATTAATGATCTCCCAATCCTGCTCCAATCAACAATAATACTCATTTCAAACATAGGAAGTGTAGAAATGATTACACAGAGAATAGAGATGTAAACTAGTCAAACTAAAAATTAGTTAAGTGGGGAGATGCAAAAGAAACTAAACAAACAAACAACAAATGAGACTTGTTCAAATGAAAAACTTCAACCAAATAATACTCAACTTTTAGATAGGTAGGTCTAATTCAAAAATTCATCAATTGGATGGCTGAAATCAGAATTTATCCATGAAGAAAGCTAGAGCTTTTCACATACAAAATTTCACCCTTTATGTGCTTAGATAAGTTTTCATTTTTTAACGCTAATTGAAGTAATTGAGAAAATCTGTGCAAACAAAAAAAAAAACAGCAATACTTGATTTGGGATAAACTCACAATGCCCGAGCATTGATGCAAGTTGTTTCGAGGCCAGTTATCATCTTGCAACTCCTGGTCCTGAAAGGGCATTGATGGAAGAACAAGTGGACCCCCCACATCATCCAACTGACCCTGGTTCTGATCTCCACTCTGCTGCACATCTTGATGGAAGAACAAGGGTGATGAAGTTCCATCCAGTTCCCAGTCAACCGAAGCATAAACTTGCCTTTCCACATATGATTGTATCAATTGGTCTAGGCTCTCACGGAAATCACTTCGAAGAAGATTAGAGACTCTTCTCCTACAACATGAACAAAACCTCCTATAAAAGTCATCATTACAAAGTACCAAAATGTCTAATGCCTTTAATAATCAGATCCAAACCTGCTTAAAAGTTCTCTAATTTCTGTACTGTACACATTATCATCGTTTGGAAAATAAAATGTATCAAATTGCCCAGCAGAAGGCCGTTCTAATAAATTATCCATAGCCTCCTGCAGACCACTGTCAAGCCATCTCACATCTTCTTCACCTTCACTTCCCAGTGTTTCCGTGTACCAGTGATTTGCACTTATTTCACTCAAATTTTCATCTGTGCCTTCTGCATTATCATCTCTCCATCCAGTAACCGACGATGCATGCCACTCTTCTACTTGTGCAGAAGCATGTGGCCAGTGCATGCCTTCAATTGTATTACTTTCATGACCATCTGCATGATTTGAGGACACATGCACATCACATTCCTCGCAATTATGCTCACAATGTTCATAAAATTCTTCTTGAGCACCTATCTGATGATGCTGTCCTTCGCCTTCATTTCTTGGTGTTTCTTGTGAGCATGCATTTGCAATATTTCCCCCACAGTTTCCACCCATATTTTCTCCCAAACCTTCTCTCATTCCAACAGACACAGAATTGGATGGTGATGGTTTCTCTCTTCCCTCATCTTCAGAAATCACTACCTGCTGTTCTTCTGGAGCAGTAGCTTGTTGCCAATTTATATCTTGACTAGAATTGCCTTCCAAGGGAACAGTGCATAACTCATTTATTTCTCTTTCACCATTATTAGGCTCAGATTGTTCTTGGATTGCATCTTGGTTGTCACGCAAACTGTTTGTTTGAGTTTGTTCATTTATAAAATCATTTATGTCATTGTTAGATGAGGTATCAGACTGGGCACTGCCAGATGGACTGTGGACAAAATGGTCCAATCTGGAAAGGAACCCTCCCCTGTGCTCAAACAAATGGTTCCAATCAAGTTAATAAATAAACAAATTAATCATTGTTTTAACCAACAATGACAGTCATCCCAAACAATATCAAATACTTTGCACAAAAAATAACAGCCTGTAATGTTATTGGAAGTTGCCTGATCTCATCCCTACAAAACACAGATCATGCATAAAAAAGGCCAAACAAGCCAATAAAGGCAGATCTCAGTACAGGACAAAGGTGAGAAACTACCATTTAATACTACAAATGCATTAAAATCTGCCAACAAGTATAACTAAATGGTTGTAGAATAATAACTCTAATTAGATAAACCTATAAACAAATATAATACGTATAGCATTTCTTGTTTTTGGAGGCATGCAAGCTTGGTAACTCTATTGATATTATCAGTGTCTATTGCAGATTGCACATTTAGTTTTGCCATTTTTCAGCATCACTTCTACATCAACAAGCATCACATCAGTATGCTGCTTGTTTTTGGAGGTCAACATGTCTGGAAAGTCATTATCTTGTCTGGCTCCCATTCCATTTCTACATCCATGTCAAGTAGAGATACTAGAAAAATAACAAGTATTATTATTATAAAGAATAAAAATAAAAAAGAGTATGCCTAGTTTAGTCCCCATTGGATGTGGGTGGAGAGATAGATTGAGTACATACCCAACCTATGGCATTATTTGTGCAAAATGGCTGCTCTCACAGAGATACTATGTTACAATATCTCAACACCACAATTGTGCACAATGAATTCATGAAGCATGTAATTCACTAGCATCAAATTTTTAACCTAAAAAATTGCTAGAAAACTTGGTGAAGTTGTTTGGGTCTACTTCAACATGATTTTCTCTTCCACAGCAACCAAAATAACAAGCATTAGCTATGGGAAAACAGACCACCACACAGAGACACATACACATCCAAATAAGGCAGGTAGTAAAAGCAACGTTGCATGATAGTTAGTGCAGGAAAAATATTTTTGAGAAATAAAAAGAAAGAAGACACTCTTATTGTAGATATAGCATTAAAACCAAATACCTTAAACCAGAGACAGTGTGTCTTTGCCTCAAAAAACCCAATTCACTTGCTGCCACAGAAGAGGAGGGTTGCTCGTCTTGGACCAATCTTCCACTTTGCAAGAATCTACTTCTCAATATTGACTTCAAAACAAGTACAACATAAAGCAGTCAAAAAGATTTCAATACTTCATGGGCATAAATCCCAAACTTATTAACATCATGGCTAAATGCCAAGCATGGAAACAAACCATAAAACAGATATATATATATATATGTGTGTGTGTGTGTGTGTGTGTGTGTGTGTGTGTGTGTGAATATTTTAATATAGAAAAGAAAAGACATAATTTGAATCATCTCTACAAGTAACTTGCATGATACAGAACTTTCCCATAACATGCATTGAATAATAATTGTGATCTTTACACGATGGTTCGTTTTGTAATTTAAACATGTGAAAATTAGCTCAAATGTTTACAAAAAATGCATTTTCCATAGGCAATAACAAAAAAATGTACAATCATCTATATAATTTGTAATTGCATTCTACCGAACTCCGCAAAATAACCACAGGACAATCCAATATGAATGCTAATCATCATTAGAAAAACCTTTCACTGCGATCAGTCCTATATATTACATCCCAAACCCAACTCATAACTAACTTGTACAAGCATCAAATTACGACTAAAGATTTTACACAAATAGATAGTAAATTCATCATGATTGCAAATCAACAATCTGGTGTGAAATAGGACAAGTTTGAGATTTAAATTTAAAACTGTGGTTGTTTTAGAGTTTCTTCCATAGAGGTATGGTAAAAAGGTAGAAGTGTTTGAATCAAACAAAAAAAAAAAAAAACGTAGAAGTGTAAAGAGCTGACATAAAATCACAAGTCAAAGACAAGAACTTTTGAAACAGCTTACCTGAATGCGATTACGGTGAGCAAAATCAGATACAGGCCGATGCTCCAACAACTCCTGGAGTTCTCTTTGCCTTTCCCTCTCAGACCTTGCCAACAAATCAAGCAAAGCCTGTCTGCCACATAATCTGTGGATTTTCCTTCGAGCACCAATCTCACAATGATTAACAACAAATCCATCACGAACTCGTTCAATTTCAGCACCAATTTCAACGGGTTGTTCTTCTCTACTGCCACCACCACAAGTGCTTCTCTGCTGGCTAGTCATCCGTACCCACTCCCTTATAATCCTCACCCTCTCACACTCATTTTCGCCAAGCCATGGTGCCCTTGAAGAACTTTTCACAGGGGAAACATTGGATGCAACACCGCTTACTCCACTATTCATCCATTCCCGGAATATTTGTCTCACCCTTTCCCTTTCAACTTCCCCAAAATCAGTGGACTGCTCTGAGCTAGAACTGTTCTCATCCTCATGTTTTGAATTTTCATTGCTATCCTCCAACTCCAAGCTATCTCCATTATCACTCTCGAGTTTCTCAGACAAATACGCATTCACAAGATCAGAATTCGAGCCATCAATCCTATTTTGCCGTAGTCTACCTCCAACTCTCAATTGGGAATGACTCACTATATGCTCACCCTCGAGTTCACGCCACATTTGCAGAAGAGAAGAGCCTCGGGTGCTCGTCCTATCATGATGATTACCCCACCGCCATGAGAGTGGAGACTGAGACTCCCTATCAAAAGATGACTCAAGCATGGAAACATTTTGTAAACCAGCAACAGCCATTAATTGATCCCACTAACAATTCTATTGCTCAACCATGGTAATCATTTTCTGGGTTGGTTTAAGCATCCCTTTCGCTTAAAAGACAAAAAAACACAATCTAGATTCTTTGCTTTCACTGCACGGTTTGAAAAAAATGTGTCATGTTTCTCTCTCTTCAAGTTAAAACAACTATTTATTGCTAACTATCCCCTGTCATCTCAAAAAGTAACTACACAAGTCCCCCATCACCCAATACTCAAGCACACACAGACAGAGTAAAAAAAAAAAAAAAAAAAATCGTAAAAAAAAAAAAAAAAAAAAAAAAAAAGAAGAAAAAACTTAACAGTGAAGGTACAGTGGGGAGTGAGACATTTGAGGTCTCGTAGTTTAGTAAAAGTTTTGGAACCCTCAAGTAGTGCTAGGCAAAATGCCTTCTAAAAGTACACATAAAAGTACAATATATGCACTCTTATCATATTCTTTGTTTTAGTTAATCAATTAAATTACAGTAATTAATTTTAAAAATACTATAAACATAAATAAAAAAAATAATTTTTTTTATGATGTGACATTTATAAATATTTATTTTTTAAAAATATATAATTAAATTAATTTAAAATAATATTTTTACGATTATATTTTTAAAAAGGGCAAATTACATATACCCCTCGAGATTTAGCAAAATAACAGACATTCCCTGAAGTTTGAGAAATTACAGATACCCCCTGAAGGTACTATTTGCATAACAAATTAGGAGACAAATTGTTATGAAAATATAAATCTCAATGAGCAGTTTGTTATGAAAATATAAACCTCAGGGGTATCTGTAATTTCCGAAACCTCAGGGATATCTGTAATTTAGCTAAACCTCGACGGAGGTATATTTAATTTGCCCTTTTTAAAAATGACAATGGGCTGCAACAAAGATTGAAGGAGAATGTGGAGATGGAGATCTCAGAGAGAAATTTCTTTGACCTAGCAATGGAGGCTAGCTAAATGTGGAGAGTGAAAGTGAATATGAAAATATGCAACATGCTTCTTGTGATGCAGAACCTGTTGGAGGAAGAAAAAACTAATTTCACCAGTAAAAATGCCTCATGTGGCCCTTTTGCCTACTCCCAAGATCCTTAAGATCATATTAAAATCCATATTTGATTATACAACTTTTACGCGAGAAATGTTTCACAATCGATAATATTTATAATTTAAAAAAAAAAAAAAAAGGATCAAATAGCTTGAATCCAAATGAGTGAATCATTTGAAGAGAGCCCCCTCTCCCTCTATCTCTCTCTCTCTATACAAATTTTTATACGTCTTTTTGTACGTGTATGTATAGGGAAAGTGTGTGTTTGGAAAGTTCCTATTTTAATAGGTTATTTTAGTTTTTGGCTATTTTAGTAGACTAAAATTTGATTATTTTAGTAGACTAAAGTTTTTGTATTTGGAAAAATAATTGAATTTTTTTTGTAATTAAATGTAATATTTGTTAGAAAAAAAGTAAAATGACTATGAGTTTGATGTGATATTTTGTCTGATTGACTATTTTAATCTATTTTATCATTTTATAAATTTTACTCTAAAAAATTAAAAAAAAGCCAAACAACCCATATATATATATATGTATGCGTATGTAATTTTAATATACCGATATAGTGTGTTGCTAAGCGTCTTCGTTATATATGGTTATGGGTTTGAGTCTTACTTTCTCTTTGTATAATTTTTATAAAAGAAAAATGTTTGACAGCATAAAAAATTATCATTAGAGGAAACATTAATGATGTGTCAGTGGGTCCTGCTCATTTTTTATGACTTGTTTTTATTTATTTATTTATTTTTTATCATTCTCAATGTATTAGTGTTATTAATAATTTATTTTTTTAGTGATCTAAATAATTATTATTTTTATAAAAACTCAAATGTAAGGGTACTTAGAAAAAATTTAAAATACGAGACAAAAAGTGTCAGAGACCTTCCTGAATAGATAACAAAGAGAAAACAAGACAAGAAAGACATAAAGCTTACTCAAATCCAGAAAAATGTTTAAGACTATTAATTTAAGAGCGCGCTAGAAGAGTATTAATTGGTGAGTCTCATTTATTGATGTGATGTTTTAGATTTATGTTTTTTTTTTTTTTTTTTTGGGATTTTCAAATCTTTAGTGATCAATTAGTGTTCTTAAATTAGTGGGATGAATCATTATTGTTCAAATACGTGAAATTGAGCCCAAAATTGGATTAAAATGGCTCATTCACGCATTGTTCAAACCAGAAAAAATTAAGAGAGAGAGAGAGAGGAAAACAAAAGGAAAAGCCGAGAGAATATGATTAATTTGAATATGAAGAAAATAGAACTTACCTTGGAATCTCCGTTCTTCTGTTCCTTTTTCCAAGTCGAAGAATCGAAATGTAGCTGTTCAATTCTTCAATTCCAGAAAGTTATAACTGAAATGAAACCGAGAGAGAGAGAGGGTTGTGGAGAAAAAAAGTTGAGAGCTCTAACGAAAGAGAGAGGGAAACGGCGATTTACGAAATAAATAAATGTGACACGTCACACTGTCCTTTTATCCACTTTAACTCTAAGAAAAATGATTTGTAATTTGTGTTTTTGAATGTACGAAAATAATCACTGTGTTTGTTTTAAATTTTTTAGATTAAGTTTTTTGAAAATTAATTTTTTTGATTTTTGTGTTTTTTTATTTTTAGTGAATATTTTTAAATTTTAAATATTTGTTTTACTTTTTTAGATGCACCTTACTTAGATGTATCTAAAAAGTAAAAAAATTGTGAAAAAATATTTTAAAAAATTAATAAATACATAAAAATATAAAAAATGTACTGAATTCTTGTATTTTTGGTATTTAGTGAATTTTTAAAAAGGACTTTTTGTACACAATTTTTTATCACTTTTCTAGTAGTATTCATGTCCTGACTATGTGTCTAAAAAGTAAAAAATAGACTTAAAAAATTAAAAATTCAGTAAAAACAAAAAAATCACGAAAAATAAAAAAAGTAAAATTTTCTCTGATAAAATGTATATGAAAAACTAAAAACTAAGCAATGGTGAATGACATTCACTTTTAAAATAATATTCATTTGAAAATATTCAGGTTGAATAAAGCTTGAACCAGATGGATACTGAGGATCACTATCTGATTGGCAAAAAAACATATTATTCACTTTTTATTTTTTTATTATTTTTTAATATATTTTTGCTCATGCCAGCCCCCCAGTAGAAGTGAGTGCTAGGATCATACTCTCTATTGT